TCAGTGGTGATATCTTATGTTTTGTGAGCCTAGTTAATTTAATAGCTATGATCTCCGATTCTCACCGCGACACTGGTGCTGATACTCGAAGCTTGTCACTCAAGGTACTTTTTGTTAGTATGAGAGTGCGACCTAAGAAGGGGGTGAATTAGGTTTTAAGACTTTTTCTTGTTTTTAGACGTTGTTATGGTTCTTTTTTATATTTCTGGAAGATATAATAATCTGATGAAGGATAAAGTAGGAAAAGTAAAATGCAGTAAAAAATAAATGATACAAGGATATATACTAGTTCCCTTTTCCAAACAAGGGTATATCTAGCCCCCTCACATCCCATGAGAGATTTCACTATGTTATATCTTTTTACCAACTTTACACCATGACCTCTGTTACAATCTTCTAACATAAACAACAAATCTATGGTGGACTTTGAACCAAACTAATTCAAAGGATTTTTTCCAATAATCACCAACATTATTGCGATTATAACATAAACAAGAAAATATACCACTTTCTATTTACAATACTTAGAAATCACACCACTTTCTATTAAAAACAAATGTTGCCACACACTTGATGGTCAATACAAATTATGAATGCAATTTTGAATAATCTTTACAACTTGAATTAGGTTCCAAGATATAAAATGTTTGATATTCTCTTCCACTTGATCACAATTCAAACACATACACACACACACATGCACACACATACACACACACACACACACACACACACACACACACACACACACACACACATACACACACAAAGGTACACGTACAAGCACACGCATACGCGCAGGCACACACACACACGCACACACAAATGCACACACACACACACACACACACACATACATACACGCACACACGCACACACATACACGTACACACACACACACACACACACACACACACACACACACACACTTAAATGCTCAAATTAATTCAATAAAACTATTTTTCAAGATATGAAAGTTATGCATAAAAATTTCATTGTAGTGGATATAAGAACACTTAAAAAACTTGTTTGAGTTATATAAAAAATGATGTATGAAAGATTTAATTGAAAAACTGATGTATTTTGACTTAAATACATTTCATTATGCCTCTTTGTTTTGATGTAATATTTTAGAAAAGTTTCATGATCATTGACAATGTTTTGGAATCACAATGGTTCATATTTTTCAAAATAGTATGTTATTTAAAAAAAAAAGTAAAATTGCGGCGTTTCAAACTGCCAAAGCTTACGAACCAATGTGATGTTTCAAATAAATACTAAAATTGCAACGGTTTCAAACTGCCACAACTTACGATCCAATGTGTTATTTAAAAAAACAGTAAGATTGTTTTAGGGTTTCAAATTGCCATAATATGTGAAAATCAACTTTTTAAATAGAGAGCACATAAATCGACTGACCAATTAAATAAATTGATTTACTGCCTTAAAATTTTGAATTTTCGCCTTTTAAAAGTTGTGTTTTGAATGACAATCATGCATGAATGTTTAAGAAGCATATAATCGTTTAGATGAAAAAGTTTTGAGCACCTAAGCTTATAAACATATGAATTGTCAATCTTCATTATTCAATCCTATGATTTTCAAAACTTATCCAATCTTGATACTTGATTTCAATCTTGTTCTTATTTTATATTTCTTCTAAGATAAGAGTTTGTCTTCATCAAAACTTAATCTAAGATAGATGAAAAACATCTTCTTCACACTTTTCACTATAACTGTTAGGTGTGACCGCGGTGAAATGTCTTTTAGTAAATAACAAAAAAAAACGTTTAATAATCAGTGATTACTACAATTTACTAAATGATCGTAGTAAAATGATGTTATGAAATGTATATTTTGTAGTAGTGGATATTCTCTTCAACAATGAGATTGACCAGATGGAAGATATTATTATGAATATTAAAATAGTTTTTTTTGTAGTTGACTTGTGGAGTAGGATTTGTATTAGTTTTTATAATTGGTGAAAAAATCATGTTGAATACCTCATATTGAAATGAGTCCTTAGTAATGTTTGGTTGAATATCCATTGTACTCTTTTTATCAATTCAATTTTTTTATTGAAAAAAAAAGAGAGTTGAATATCACATTTTAATTCGAAATTTTAAGATATTAAATTTATGAATTATCTCTTTTATAAAATGTTTATCATCTACATTTTCATTTTTCCTCATAAAGATACTCATCTTTGATATACAAACACTATTAAATAATAAAAACAAAAATTGTTTTATTTTTTCATAGTTAGGTTTCATTTCTTCACATTGTTTGGGCTAAAAAATTTATTACCATTTAATAGACTTTTAGTTACAAAAACTTTTAGAATATATGTGTTTTGTTTTCTTTTTAACTTAGTATTTGCTAGGGACTGATTAATTCAAAAAAAAAAATTATACTATTGGGGAGATCGAGGAATCTTTTTTGATTGCAAATTGATTTTTTTTCTCCATTTCTCATAAGCTTTAAAATGAAAGGTTCATAAATTTTTGGAAGCTCCGTTATTTTAGATATTCATCTTTTGATGTTATTTTTTCTTCTTTGTTTCGGTTATGTGGTTCGGGTATCCTTAAAGTGGGTGATGTGAGGGTTTGGAACAATAATTCTTGGGAGTGAGATCTCGACTTTAATGAGCCGATTTTGAATAATATTGATTCTCTGTTGTTTAGTGAGTTATTGCAAAACTTTTGGGATGTAAAGCTAAACATTCAAGAAGAGGATCACTTTGTTTGATGGAGGCATACACATGAGTTTTCGCTCAAGAATTGTTATAAGAGGATTCTTGAGTTTAGCAATTTGGAGAATCTTGTGGATCCTTTAAAGACAAAGGCTTTTGATTGTCTTTGAAAATCTAAAGTGCCTAGCAAAATTTTTATTTTTGGTTAAAGACTTATTCTTAACAAATTGTCAACAAAAAAGGAGTTGGCAAAGCGTGAAATTATCAATAGTGTGCATAATGTGGTTTGTCCATTTTATTTTACGGAAGAAGAGGATGTTCAACTATTGTTTTGTTCTTACTATTTTTCTAGTATCATATGAATTAATTTTTATTTATGGATTGATGTAGATGTGTCTTTTCTTACTGATTCTTTGATGAAGAGGCTTCTAGATCTAAATTCGTTATGTTTTTTTGGTTTTTTGACCTTACTTTTTATCGGTTCATTTGGTCTTATAGGAATTCAATTTTTTTTAAGGATAGTATTCTTACAAATTTGAATACTTTAAATATGATTAAAATTTTGCCTTAGATTGGTCCAATGCTTTTGGTAAAATAACATGTATTTGTTAGGTTTTTCTAAGAGATGCTAATATAAAATTTTTAGAGAAATTTAAAATAAATCAACTTTCAGCCTCTCGTTTTAAATAGGGCTCATTTGTTTTGCTTTTTTTAAAAAATAATTTTTTTAGTATAATATATTTTAGTGTAAAAAAATTTTACACATTTTTTTTATAAAAGTTTTAAATGAAAATTTAATTTTAATAGTTATTTTTAAAATGTTATTTTAATGTATTTCATCAAAAAAAATTGAATATTAAAATTTTAAAAATTAATTAATTGTGAAGCTATTTCAAATTGTTTTTCATAAAAATTATTTTTTAGATACAATTTTTTGAAAAAATTATGTTTTGATCTTCAATAATATATATTTATATTATAGTATGTTAAAATTAGTCTTTTAATTTATAAAATTTTTTTTTAAAAAAATTATAATATTTTAAAAAACGTTTCTTTAGAATCTACTTTCAAAAATAAAAATAAAATTCTACTTTTTTAAAATTAAAATAAACTGGCACATAATATAATGGAGACAAATTTAATCTCTAGCAACTATTCACACATCATGCAAGTGTTTAAATATGCTTCTAATTCGTTGAATGTTATTTTATTTAAGAGTGAAAGAGACATAACAAAAAAGATTGAGAATTGAATATAAAATATTAAAATCATAAAAGATTGCACCAACTTCTAATAAAGATAAACGTCCCTAATAAATAAGGTCTCCCAATCACAGCATATCGATTTAATAAGCCTCACCAGCAGATTTATGGCAGCTATAGTAGCAATTTAGCAGCATCAAACCCCACAGTATTCTTCTTTATTTAAAAATTAGGTTTCAACTATGCTACCATTCACTTTACTATAAACATTCACTTTACTATTCTTTTTAGGTTGATGAGGATGTAAATAGTAAGATATAGATGATGTAATTCAAAATTTAAGAGATTTTACGATAAGATGGCGCCACATTTCTCATCTTTTCCACTTGTTATTTCATTTTTGTGACTTATATATCTTCAATTATGTTTAGAAATACTTTATTATAAATATTTCATTTTTTTCATTTTAATTTAGTTTTCTATAAGCACAAGCAAACAAGTAATATATATATATATATATATATATATATATATATATATATATATATATATATATATATATATATATATATATATATATATATATATATATATATATATATATATATATATATATATATATATATATATATATATATATATATATATATATATATATATATATATATATATATATATATATATATATATATATATATAGCAGAAGCAGGGAAAATATAGGAGAAGTAGGAGAAATGGTAGAGAAAGATAATATGAGAAAGGGTAGAGAAATAAACATTTATTCAAAACTTAATTACAAAAGAAACTTGAATCCTCATATATAGGAAAACAAAGATTTACTATTTAAGCCGGTAACATTTACCAACAATAGTAGGTGAACTACTAAACATTAATTATTACAAAAAACAAAAGCTTTTACAAAAGAAAAATTAAGTACATACGTTTATGCCTAATGACAAGAGATTCCCTTAAAATAAGAAGATAAGATTCTTTCTTATCTTTTGCTTTTTATCAACTTTTTCTTTTGGCAAGATTCTTATTCTATTAGTCTTGTCTTTTGCTTTTGACAAGATTCTTATTCCATTAACCTTGTCTTTTGCTTTTGTTTATTGATTCTTATTTTTTGCTTTCTCTTTTGCTTTCTGAGCCATGGATTGAATCATTACGTCCCAGAAATCCTCTGCAGTTGGGTCCTCCGCTTGGGCTTCTCCTGCCAAACAGTCAAAGTTGTGGGAATCAATCGATCCCATGGAAGAACTGGGCTTCATAGATGAATCTTCATCTTTTGATGCCTTTGTTGGAAAAGTGGAGAAGAATTGGTTTTTCATATGGTCCAAAGTTCTAACCATAATTTCATCTTCTGATTCATTTGGATATTTTCTCTGGAAGAAGTTCTTCAGATTTCTCATAGACATTTGTTGGGAGCTTTGCTCTTTGACCTTATTACTTTGGTCTTCAGCTATAGTTGTTTGAATTAAATTTCCTATTTTCTGGATTTCTTCGGAACTCATTTTGTTCCACCATTTATAGAAGAAATCTCTTTCTAAAATGGGTATGTTGAATTTATCCTGAGATATGGCGATTGACCATCTCCATATCCATGGAATCTGAAATTTGGTAAAGAACAAAAATGGACATTGTCCGGTGATTAAATTATCAGATAAATTTTTTGTAATAAGTGTGCTATTGTCACACCATGGATTGTATAAATCAAGTAATTCTTTGGGTAGTATTTCCAAAGACGGACCAAATTTAGTCCACCATTCATAAAAACCAATTTGGTATAGGTCTATTAATCATCTCTGGATTAATTGAGAAAAACCAAGAATGCTTATTCTTGGGATTTTGATAATAAAAGGTTTGAGTAAAAGCTTGGACATAGTCCCAGTAATTAAAGTAAATATACTTTCCTTCTACAATTCTTATTGCCTTTTCACCATTTGGATTGAGACCCCATTCTCTTGGTAACAGGATTTTATTAATGTGACATTTGCTGAAGTTTATAAAACTTTCAGGATTATTATTCTGGTAATGGTGAGTAAATGTTACCGATTCGGTAACGGTTAGAAGAATTTCTAGATGAGGCCTCAATTTTCCATGTAGGCCTGGATATCCTCTTGATTTGAGGTATCTATTTTTGATAGACCATCCATCATTTGAATTTATTTTGATATCCTCTTCATCAATATACATGATTTTTTCAGTTACTGGATTTTCAAAATAATCTGATTGCTCTTGAGGTGGGTTATTCACCGCAACTTCTTTGTAAGATGTACTTTTATTAGAGGAGGAGGAAGGAATATCTTCCTTTTTAGATGAGGATGTAGGTAATTGTTGCATTTTTCTACCTTTGTAGACTGTAGTCCAATCCCCTATTAGAGGAATGTTTGATTCTGGATGGGGTAAAATATTGTTACTCCCCCTTCCACCACGGCCATAACCGCGGCCTCTACCCCTATACGGGGTCATCATTTTTTCCTTGCAAAAATTCACGAGTTACATAATCAGCAAGTGAATTATTTTCACCTTTGATGTGTTGAATGTCAAATTCAAACATAGATAATTGAGATTGCCAGCTAGCAAAAATTTGCTTAACAACAAGATTTTTAACATCTTTTTCAATAATTGATTTAGCTGAGCTACAATCAATTTTTAATAAATTTTTTTATTAATAAGATCATCTTGAAATTTTTAAATGCATTTTATAATAGAGAGCATCTCCTTTTTGATAGTAGAATATTTTGATTGGGCAGGATTCCATTTTCCAGAGGTAAATCTGACCAAAATTTCTTTTGATGTATCAGGTATAATTTGTTTAAGAATTCCTCCATAGCCTAAGTCGGAAGCATCCGTTTCAACACTTTTGAAATATTTTGGGTTAGCAAGGGATAAACAAGGCAAACATTTAACTTTATTTTTAATTCTTTGGACTGCCTGAGAATGTTTATCAGTCCAAGGCCCAAGATTCTTTTTAAGCCTAGCATGTAATATGGCAGTATCTTTTGCAAGATTTTCATAGTAATCTGCTATATAGTTGAGACTACCAAGAAACCTTTGTAATTGTTTCTTATCTGTAATAATATATGGGAATTTGGAAGCGAATTCAATACTTCTTTGTATAGGAATTATAGTTCCTTGGTCAATTTCATGACCTAAATATCTTACATTTGTTTGAAAAAGTTTCATTTTAGGAGCAGATATCACTAATCCATTATTTTTTACTAATCCTTTGAATATTTTTAAATGCTTAACATGTTGATCTATAGTTTTAGAAAAACTAAGACATCATCAATATAAACAATTATAAATTCTATATAAGGATTAAAATATCATTCATAATCTTTTGAAATTCAGAGGGGGCATTTTTAAGGCCAAAAGGAAGGACATTCCATTCATAATATCCAAAAGGAACAGTAAAGACTGTTTTATACTTATCAGATTCATTAATCTGAATTTGCCAATAGCCAGATTTCATATCAAACTTAGAAAAGATTAAAGCATTATTTAATCTATCTAAAAGATCTTTTTTATTAGGAATATGATATCTAATCCATTTTAACACTTTATTAAGAGGTTTGTAATTTATAACAAGTCTAGGGACTCCACGTTCCCTTTCGACAGCATTATTAACATAAAAAGCTGTGCAGCTCCAAGGAGATTTGGACTTTCTTATTAATTTTTTCTCTAAAAGAGATTCTATCTCTTTTTGCATAAATCCAAATACTCGTGGTTCATTTGAGCAGGCCTAGCTTTAGTGGGAATCTGACTCTCATTAAAGTCATCAAGATAAGGTAATGAAGTAACATGTTTCTTTCTATCCCAAAAGGTGTAACACCCCCTTTCTATACCCCCAAATAAACAAATAAATCACTTAATCACTTATTGAAATTTCGTCAGAGTAAATTTAAAACATGGTAAAAAAAAAAGCGGCATGTCACACATACATGAAAATAAAACATGCAACACCTGCTCAAATAAAGATATGTAACAATGGGGTAACTACAACATAGGAACTTCGTCCTTACGCCCATGTCTCAATATTTAAAATTAAAGCGGAAGATTAAAATATTTGAATCACTTAAAACATGTTATCATATAAATACATAATTCAGTTTGGTTCACCATATCATTCATGTTTTCCAAAACATTATCAGCTGATACATTTACAAATGTATCACAAAAGGATGCTATACAATCCTAACTACCCGGTGCTACATATCAGAGCTGATCGACAAAAAAATGAAGCTATACTTCACAAAAAGACCTCCAGCAATCCTAATCTGCAATGCCTCATAGAGCATTATAAAACAGCAGAAGGGTGAGAAATATGATCATAATAACAATGCATATAATCATGTATATATAAATATAGACATAAAAGTATACATATTTCGCATTCTCACCACATTCATCATAATTTACTCATATACATCGTCATATATACATATATATATATATATATATATATATATATATATATATATATATATATATATATATATATATATATATATATATATATATATATATATATATATATATATATATATATATATATATATATATATATATATATATATATATATATATATATATATATATATATATAATCCAAGCATAATGTCATGTACACTTTCACAATTTCAATCAAATCCACATAAACATACACATTATGTTTAATTCACTACAAATCATATAAACATATACAATCATGTTTATTCATCAATTCACAATTTCACATTCGCAACTCTCAAATCAACAATTCATGCTCATAAGCATACTTTCATACAATAATCACATTTTCACAACTCTCAATTATGCAAGTAATGCACATACGCATATTACACAATTCTCACCATACTTCATCATAACTCATCATACACTTCACATAGCATATATATATATATATATATATATATATATATATATATATATATATATATATATATATATATATATATATATATATATATATATATATATATATATATATATATATATATATATATATATATATATATATATATATATATATATATATATATATATATATATATATATATATATATATATATATATATATATATATATATATATATATATATATATATATATATATATATATATATATATATATATATATATATATATATATATATATATATATATATATATATATATATATATATATATATATATATATATATATATATATATATATATATATATATATATATATATATATATATATATATATATATATATATATATATATATATATATATATATATATATATATATATATATATATATATATATATATATATATATATATATATATATATATATATATATATATATATATATATATATATATATATATATATATATATATATATATATATATATATATATATATATATATATATATATATATATATATATATATATATATATATATATATATATATATATATATATATATATATATATATATATATATATATATATATATATATATATATATATATATATATATATATATATATATATATATATATATATATATATATATATATAGGCAAATATGGAAAATCATCAACATATTCATAATTCTCAATTACACAAGTCATGTACATACACCTATGCATAACTTCATATAACAATCATATATTCATTCCATGAGACTCAATGCAACTCATGCCATGTGGTACCAACACTTGTTATCATTTTTCGGTTTTTACATTTAAACCGGGTCCGTTCCCTAAACCGATAACAACAAAAGCCCGTTCCCTAAGCTTTCAAACCCCGCTCTAGGTTTGGGACAAGTCAGTAGCCTCCACGAAACTAGCAAACATTGCCTATTGACTAAATGATGCGTATGCAATCAGCAACCAAATGCACTTAAGACCGTTCTCGCATCTTAATCCCATGCATTCTCAAATAATTCATCACATAAGAATTATATCACATGATTGCACACACAACATATTCACACCATCAAAGAATTCATACTTTAAATTATCATCATCATATTTATCAAACAATGCACACATATCTACAATATGTTCTCATGCATTATTCACACACAATCACAAGCAATGCACACATATTCACAATATGTTCTCATGCATTCTTCACATACAAAAACAAGCGATGCACACATATCTACAAATATGTTCTCATGCATTCACAATATCGCATACAATTAATATGCATTTACACTTCAATATCATTACCACATTTATCAAGCAATGCACACATATTCACAATATGTTCTCATGCATTTTTCACATACAAACAATACGCATATATTTGTCAAAAGACTATATTTCATAATCGATTCCACCATCTAGGATTCACGCCATACGGCTACCCACGGCATATCATATCACAACATGCACAAGCTATACGTTATATAACAAAAGTATTCTGCACAATAACACATCAATCACACACATTCGCGACGGTAAAAATCAACACAACAATATGTTTTCAATTTTCTGCTATAATTGAATCAGGTACAGACCTCAAAGCCATTTTTTATAGAAAGAGCATCTCGTTAACTTACCAACGCTTCGAACGGGGGTCAAAACCGACTTACGGTTCAAGAGTTATGAATTTTCGAAGTTTTCCGAAAAACCATAGTTTTGCCTAAACACGGCTACGGGATTTTGCATTTTCGCCCGAAAATCCGACCGATTCAATTCTTTTTTTCGAAACAAACACATACTCATACTCACCTAACATATAGCAGTGAATTAGAACCATTAAACACAATTTCTACGACGTCCGATTTTCACTCAAATCTCAAACCCTCAATTATCCAAAAATGTCAAAACTCACAAACTCAACCAAATTCAATCAAACGAAATCCAATAATCACGGCTAAATATTACCTGACTAAACTACGCAATTTATTTTGAATTCTAACCGTTCAAAACTCGATTCTACCGATTAAACCATTTATGCCCTAGAATGGAAAATGGAGAAAAACACTCAAACAAACTCAAACAATCCATACATAATCACATACATTGATAAGATAATGATATTTCACACCCTTACCTTGATTAAATCGGAGCTAGAAGTTGTTCTTGAGCTTTTCCAAGTTTTTCCTTCTTCTCCTTCTCTTTTCTCCTCTTTCTCTATTCTTTCTCTTATGTTTTCTATTCTCTTCTTTTCTCTCCAATTTCCCTTATATATCCTTCTCTTTCCTTTCCCTCTACTTTCCTTTTATATCTTTCTATTTTCTTTCCATCATAATTCTTCTCAAAATATCTACTAATTCGTTTTCTCATAAAATTTCTCATCTCATCATTAATTAGAGAATATCTAGTAAATTCACATTATTATACCAAATAGAATAAACCAGTTAAATCCATTAACTCATATAATTGAAATAAATCCAATTAATTCATTTAAATCAAATAAATCACATAATCCAATTAATTAGTACAATTAATCAATTA